TATAAATTATATCATATATAAATATATTTAATATATAAATGTAACATTTTTTTCTTAAATATATACATGCATGGGTGTGTATTTACAGTATATATACATCATAAATATAAACCGTACACGCATATTATGTAAACAAAAACTTTTATTTTGGATGCGATTAATCATTTGACTGACATTTTGACTACTACTACAACACTACTATTTAGGAATCGTTTTCTAAATGAGGACGTTCACACATATCCCCAAATTTTTGTCATATTAGCGAACATATAGGCACAAATGCATTCCCCAAGTATAGCTAAGTAAACACACATGGATTCTCTGTAATTACATGAAGAGTTAATTTGCATGGCTGTAAAACAGCTGTTGACTTATTTTCAGAATCTTAATTTGGTCACATTCCACTAATTAAAATCTTCTTTTGTGTGATTGTTGAATTTGCAATACAGTAAATTTCTGTTTTATTTATCTATATTATATATTACATTGAAATACAAGGTCGATGTTTTCAAATAAAATGTATATAATTTCTATATATAAAAATATATATATTATGATTGATATGATATATATGATTGATTGATTGATTAATTGAAACATTAAGTTTTGTATTTCAACTTAAATATTTGAAGACACTTAGAAATGTTCACTCTCCATGTGCCTTTCAACAGAAAAAAGAATGCTTAGCTTTTGGACCGGGTGAGGACATGTTTGAAAGTACCAGGATGATAGGAGAGAATATGTACAAAAAAGCAAAGGTTTGTCTCATTTGTGATATTGTTTGATCCTTGATATGTATCAGTGATTGTGGTGTGAGTGCATTATTTTACCTAGTCAATTTTTTCTGCAGGAGCTGTACAGCAGTGCAAAGCAGGAGCTACATGGGCCCGTTTACGGCGCACATCAGTGGGTCAACATGACCGATGAGTCTGTCCCATTCAACTCAACTCATACAGTGAGTACAGGGTTCCTGTGCATAAAATACGGCTAATGAGACCAGGAACATGTTCTAAAAGAGTACTCAAATCAATTATATTTGAATAGCACTTTTTAAAATACACATTGTTTTAAAGCAACTTTAAAGAAATGTTCTATATTCAATAATTCAATAATTTATATTATAATAGTTTACACTTTTGGGTGAACTGTAAGAAAACACTGTCAGATTTTTGCAATTTTTGGACTTTATACATGCATTTAGATAATTATATGTGCAAGCATTTGACACCAACTTTGTGCAAAATTGTGTTTCGATGTCATGTCCATGTAAACTCACAAAACATAAAGATTCGTAAAGTGCTGTTCACATTGAGTACAGTATAGTTTCATCTCAAAAGGACAATTTAATACAACTTTACAGATCAAAAACACACATTTTGTAGTGTATAATTCTTGTAGGTACATTAACACGAAAAATTTAAACTCACATTTCTGCTTTTAAATTTCCAAATTATAAGTGCATCACCAAAACATGTTTTTCTATTGTTTTTACAATCTGAAAAAAAAAAGTGAAAATTATTTTCTATAGCCATCAGTTGAACGTCACAGATGCTGTCTGTAGAGCTTAACATGAACCAGAAAACTCCTCATTGTGGTGTTCATGCCAACACTGTTTCTGTCATCAGGGACGGACGTGTAAACCTGCTCTGGGCCACAGTTTTGCTGCTGGTACAACTGATGGAGGAGGAGAGTTCAACTTCATGCAAGGTAAAGAGATGCATTTCATAAACAAATATAGCCCAAATATAGTCATGTCACACGCTTGACAAGTATTTGCCAATTTTTATGGTTTCATATTTGACCGGCAGATAAATACAGAGTTCTGGCATGAAACTCTAGATGGCGCAGTCTGATAGGTCTAACTCAATCTGACCTAATGACATCATTATCACATGGCACAGCTGATTGGTTCTCTCCTGTATCGGTAGCCAATGAACTCGCTGCTCAACATTCAAATATATGACTAGTGCTTGCCGTAGCAGTTGCAGCTTGCTTCAGAAACCCTCCGCCTTCCCCAGCTCCACCTGTGTAGATCTGCTACGAGGTGATTCATGTATGCTATATGGGGGTTATTTCATTTATGTTATATTTGCAGCAGCAATATTTCTTACATGCTCACAGCAGCATGTTGTGGATGTATTGGCAGTAGCAAGTCCCGGTACTTGAAGCAGAAGCAGCGTAGCAGATCTATTCCGCCAAGACCAAATACATTAACATTGTCACGTACATTACCATCCTCCGAGAGTTGTCATGACAGAAGTATGGTTATGCTTGTGACCAGGGGATACAAATGGAGATCCTTTCTGGGATGGAATAAGAGATGCAGTTTTGGGACCGCCGTCCAACGAGACCACAGCTTGTCATCGGCCTAAACCAATCCTCTTCAGCACTGGGGAGGTATGAGGACAATTAGAGCTCATGAAGAAGCAGAATTATAAAACCTAATATACAATACGTTATCTTTTGTTAAGATAAGAATGTGCCAAAAGGGAAAATCGCTTAAGAATTGGCACTTTTTACAAGTACATGACAATAGGTAATGGCAAGTATGTATTAATAACACCTGTCGGATTGTTTTATTTGCTTTGAAATAATAACATTGATAATTGTTTTTATGCAGATGGATTCGCCCCTCCCATGGCATCCAGCCATTGTGGACGTTCAGATCATCACTATTGGCTCTTTAGCCATAGTTGCGGTCCCAGGAGAATTTACGTGAGTTCTGTTAGGAAAGGTTAATATAGAAAACAGTGGCTCTATAACGAGCCAATATGGTTTACCCCAAATTGTTTTCTATGTTCTAGTACCATGTCAGGGAGAAGGATACGAGAGGCAGTCAAAAAGGTAAGAATTGGTAAAACATTTGGAATATTTAAGACTTTTTAATGACTTTAAAAGAAGTCTCTAATGCTCACCAAGGCTGCTTTTATTTGATCAAAAATACAGTAAGAACAGTAATTTTGTATTATGTAATTAAAATGAAAAATAACTGTATTCTATTTTAAATATTTGTTTAAATGTAATTTATTCCTCAGATGCAAAAGCTGAATTTTCAGCATCTTTACTCCAGTCTTCAGTGTCACACGATCCTTCAGAAACCATTCTCATATGCTGATTTTGGTGCTTGATTTTATAAATTATTATTGGTGCTGAATTATTAAAAATGGTTCTTATCAACATTGAAAAGAGTTTTTGCTGTTTGCTGTTTTGCAGAATTTAAAATATAAATATTTTGTTACTGTATATTATAAATGTCTTTACTGTCACTTTTGATAATTTTTTTTTATCTTTACCTTAAACATTTGAATGGTAGTGTATGACAGTTTCTACGAAAATGTTAAACAGCAAAAACTATTTTTTAACATTGATAAGAAATATTTCAGCCAATCAGCATATTAGAATGATTTCTGAAGGGTCATGTGACACTGAAAACTAAAGAAATGCATCACAGGAATAACCTAAATATTTTTAATTACATTAAAAACATTCAAAAAAAAATATTTCAAACTTTTGACCAGTTGTCCACGTTTGTTTAAAACCAATTCTCACTATTAACAAACTATTAACTACAACTTTTGCCTTAATATAGTCCTAATTTGCTGCTTATTAATAGTTAGTAAGGTCAGCTGGCCAATCAGAGCAGACTGCGCTTGTCGGAAGGAGGGACTTTGTAGAAAACGAAGCGTTTGAGAGAGGCGGGGCATAGAGGACTTACAATAATGTACAGTATTTGAAAAATAATGTGTTTTTTGAACATTAAAGCATGTCAACATATTCTGTTACACCAAATACACAAAATAATGATCTTTAAAAAAGCATCATATGACCCCTTTAAGTTTGTATAGGGTAGGATTAAGAGATTTAAAATATGGTCATGCAGAGTAAGGCATTAATATGTGCTTTATAAGTACTAATAAACAGCCGATATGCTAGTAATATGCTTACTAATAAGCAACTAGCTAATAGTGAGAATTTGTCCTTCAAACAATGTGTTACCGAAAAACTTTTATTTTAAAATATGTTCAGGGGTACAGAAAAAAAATATTTTGTAAAAGTTGACGGCATAACCATTTCACATGATTTCCATAGGAGTTGGAGGTGAAAGAGTCTTTCGCTAATGCAGAAGTGGTCGTTGCTGGTCTGTGCAACATCTACACCCACTACATCACAACATATGAAGAATATCAGGTGTGTATGCTAGAAAACACTTGGTCTTAGTCATGGTATTTACAGTACATCGTGCTCCAAGGTACATCAGTGATCCCAAAAAATATGCATCTGTCTTTTTCCTCTATCCTCACAGATCCAGCGATATGAGGGCGCATCCACTATTTTTGGCCCTCACACTCTCTTGGCTTATATCCAGCGCTACAGAGGCCTGGCCAAAGCTATAGCTCATGTAAGGCTCCGCTGCCTTACAGTCATTTGTGACATTTTGATGAACTGAATTGGCCTGGCTGATCTCATGAATAAACCAATCTTCCACAGGAAACAATAAGAGAGTTGCCGAAAGGTCCTGAACCCCCTTTCTTTGATGAAGACAAACTTTTTAATCAAGTGAAGGACCCAGTGGCAGATGTAGCACCAGCTGACACCGTATTTGGTGACATCTTAGAGCAGGTTAACCCTGTCTATAAAGTGGTAAGTCAATAATTATGATGTACAAACAGTACAGTCACATTTACCATTGTTTGGCGCAATTTTGCGGGCAAAATCAATTATTTCAATAGGAATCCACACGTTTGGGAGTTTTCACGTGAGGGTGAAAAGTTCTCCATGTAGTTTTTGTAACATAAAAATGTGATTTTGCTGCATTGGCCAACATAAAGATGCTTGGTTTGAATGTGACTTCTTTTTAAAAACTGCTATGCTGTTAACAATGGACTTTTTTGCCCGTGAAAAATGTGACTGTACATTAACACTGTACTAGTGAAAGATACGCTCACTATTATAAATTGACAAGCTTTATCTGATTTATTTATTCTAAAGGGAGAAATTGCATCTGTCACATTTGTCGCTGGAAACCCGAGACACTCTGGAGATATTGTGAGTTCTTTAGTAGCAGTAACTGTACAATAATCTCGTGCAAAACATGCTCGTCTATGTATGAGATATAACTAATCTGTGGTGATTATGATATCAGAGAGATAAGACATTTGTCACAGTGGAGAGGTTTCACAACGACACCGACTCATGGGAAATAGTTCACACAGATGCATCGTGGGAAACGAGGTAATGTGTTTCCTACAGACACACAGTACATGCTGAAGAAAGAGGCATTGTTTATGCTTTTTAAATGCTAATGTTATCATATTCATTTGTATTATTCTATACTTTTACTTAGAGGTTGAGTTAATAAAGCCATCTTAATGCTGATGGTATCTTTCAAGGTCTATCCCCGATAAGGCAAACGCTGAGTCAAGGTCTTATCACTTATTATATAGCCAGTTCAATCCTCGGGTCAAAATCCATGTGTGATCCCTATTGGAATTCTAGATTAGACAGTCTGAGTATTTAAAACACAGTATGTCAGCAAAACTGGAACTGATAAAAGGGCATTGAAGTTTTTTGATTGAATGTTGATTTATTTGATAACAGTTTTTTTAATTCTTTGAGCACAAAGACAAACCTAAATTTCAAAACTGGGAAAAATCATGTAAAAATTTTAAATTATAATATTAACTAGATAGTAAAGCTCGTAGACAAACTTTAAGTTTGCTTGAAAAAGCCTAGCCAGAAAGTTTGTAAAAGTTTTAAAAGCTTGAAGTTTGAAGGTTTTTAGTTTGAAATACTTAAAATAGTTTTAAAGATTAAAGTTTGAATGTTTTGAAGGCAATACAGTCTATCAAAAGAACAGACATAGAAAAACAGATCGCTAGGGTACCTGGGGTGGCTTCTAGGGTGGTTGCTAGGGTACTCAAGGTGGTTGCTAGGGTGTTTCTAGGGTACCTGGGGTAGTTGCTACAGTATTGCTATGTGGTTGCTAGGGTACTTGGGGTGGGTGCTAGGCTGTTGCTCTGCAGTTGCTTGGGTATTCTTGGTGGTTGATAGGGTGTTGCTATGTGGTTGCTAGGGTACTCAGGGTGGTTGCTAGGGTGTTACTAGCATGTTGTTAGCATAATTAGCAAGTTACCAGCATGTCTCTAGCATGATTAGCATGTTACTAGCATGTTGGTAGCATGATTATCAAGTTGCTAGCATGTTGTTAGCATGTTTCTAGCATGATTAACAAGTTACTAGCATGTTGTTAGCATGACTAGCAAGTTACTAGCATGTTGTTAACATGATTATCGAAGGTTACTAGCATGTTGTTAGCATGTTTAGCAAGTTGCTAGCAAGTTTCTAGCATGAATAGCAATTACTAGCATTTTGTTAGCATGTTTCTAGCATGATTAGCAAGTTACTAGCATGTTGTTAACATGATTAGCAAGTTACTAGCATGTTGCTAGCATGATTCTAGCATGATTAGCATGCTACTAGTAGGATTTTAGCATGATTAACATGTTACTAGCATGTTTCTAGCATGTTTAACAAGTTGCTAGCATGTTTCTAGCATGATTAACACGTTACTAGGATGGTGTTAACATTTTGTTATCATGATTAACAAGTTACTAGCACATTTCTAGCATGAATAGCATGTTACTAGCATGTTGTTATCATGATTAGCAAGTTACTAGCATGTTGTTAAAATGATTAGCAAGTTGCTAACATGTTGCTAGCATGATTCTAGCATGATTAGCATGTTTCTAGCATGTTTATCAAGTTGTTAGCATTTTTCTAGCATGATTAGCACGTTATTAGCGTGGTGTTAGCATTTTGTTAGCATGATTAGCAAGTTACTCGCATGTTTCTAGCATGATTAGCTTGTTACTAGCATGTTGTTAGCATGATAAGCAAGTTACTAGCATTTTGTTAACATGTTTCTAGCATGATTAGCAAGTTACTAGCATGTTGTTAGCATGTTTCTATGCTAATCCAGCTAAAACCAGTTGATTAAGTAAAAAACCAGCTAAAAACCAGCTAAGACCAGCCTGACCTGCTAAAAAAAGTGGCCAAAACCACTTTAAAACCAGCTTGGGAGACCAGCCAAAGCAGCCAATCAGCTTAGGCTGGTTTTAGCTGTTTTTTTTCAGTAGGGAGTTGTTAAACTTTGCTATAGCAATAGACAGCTTAAAGGGTTAGTTCAATTTTTCAAGCTAGTTTCATTTTTGGGTGAACTAACCCTTTAAATACATCATAAGTCTTATTGTATAAAAGTTTACACCCCCTCAATGAAAGTCTATGGGATTTTAGGTGGTTTTGATAGTCTGGTTTACGAAAACTGTAAGCCGGATCTGTTAGAAAAGATACAGAAACCCGAGTCAGACCAGTGTGAAGGTCTGACCCGAGTTTGGTGGTTGTAGCTTTAAAAGTCTAGGAGGAGATGCACTTTAAAATTTGGTCTCAGAAGAAGAAGTTTAAATAGGATTTCAGTGAGTTGGCTTTCTCAAGCCAACTTAATAATTAAAAATCAATATGCACTATAATGTAGACTCGTTTTGTGTATTCAGGTTTCACTGGATTAAAGGACTTGCTGGCCGGAGTCAGTCAAAAGTGGAGTGGCACATCCCGCTCACGGCACAGACAGGAACCTACCGGATTCAACACTTTGGACACTACAAACAAATCATGGATAACAACACCATCACCACAGCATACGTGGGCACTTCTGATGCTTTCAAAGTCACCAAAAGTTTTTACTACTATTGATCAGTGTATCACTGAGAAAGATCATTAGATGTGAGGCTGACAGCTATTAGCTGCTCATAAGGCAGTGTTCAATTAACTTAATAACTTAATGTTGTTGTTCTTTACACTGTCTTTAAACTTTCATACAGTGAGAGTACTAAAATGTCAAATTCACAGACACTGCCCTGCTAAAAAAAACAAACAATAGAAATGTATTAGATAACCAATAAAATGTATTGGTTTTAATGAAAACTGTAATGGTGCCTGTGGTTTTCTACTGGTAATTGGTCACCTTCTATTGGTGGCTTGTTAAAACCAATAAAACCTAATGGAATATGTCCCAAAACACACTACAGGAAACCATTTTTAATGGTTTTAATGGTAAAAAGTTGATGGTTTGTAATGGTATTTGTAGTGGAAACCATTGGAATTTCTGTGATGGTTTCCATTGTTTTTTTCAGCAAGGTGAACCTTATTTTTTATAATAATGATTTCTAAGGTAAAGTAATTGTTTAAGTATAACAATATCTATAAAACTGTTCCATTGGTCTCTAACTGCTAAAATAAACAATGTGTTCACATTATCATTAGGCAGCACACATAGAACCCAAACTTAGTTTACATGCCAGGCACAATATCTTCAGAATTTATTTAATACATTTTTTTATTTAAATTTGTTTTAATTATGCACTGTTTGTTTTATAAAAGTAGCAAGCACCTTTCAAATGGAAGAACAAAATGGCTCAAAAGCTCGAAAAATTACTATTTTCAGCCCAAAGGTGCATTCAGTTTAATTCAGTTTTTTTTTTTTATTACATAGATATAATATGTTTTTGTAAAGACTCATAGCTTTCCATAAAAAAGTTTTCATTACACATAGTGCTGGTCATGCCCTTAATATATTCTGCCATGTTGAAAAGACTTGACCCGTGTAGCATAGTTTGGTGATGCAAAGAGCAAAAATGAGACAATGAAACACACCTACTGTACATGGTGCTAAATAGCACTGAAAGTGGTTCTTTGGCTCGTAATCATAGGGGAACCACTTTAAGTGCTACATAGCACCTACTGTATATCTTTAAAGAAGGTGCTATATAGCACCATAACCACCCCAAAGAACCATTACAGGTTCTTTATAGGTGTTATATAGCACTTCAGTTGGTTCCACTACAAGCCAAAGAACCACTTTCAGTGCTATATAGCACCTCAATTACCACAAAGAACCGCTGAAGAACCATTTTTTGTGTGTGTGTGTGTGTGTATTACCGCGCTTTACCAATGGGAGAATCAGTACCTTTATGGCCGAAGAAGCAGAACAGGTCTGAAGCTAGAAAATGGGAAGACCGGCAAAAACAAAAACGAGCGTAAACGGCGAACATAAGGTGAAAAGATTCGACGATGGAGAAAATTCTGAGTTGGGATGCTGACGTTTTGTTGGACAGGTAAAGGAGTTGATGTAGATTGCCCCCTAAAACTGGCTAATATCATTGTAATTTACATAATACTCAATCTCAGAGTGACTATCATGAAGCGTTGTACACAGTGTAACCCATGTTATTGACTTAAATGTAGCTAGCCTATACAAAGAACAGCGATGCTAAAGTTAGCTAAAGAATCCCTCAAGGTTGCGTATGTAACCCTAGTTCCCCGAAGGAACGAGACGCTGTGTCGAGACGCTTTGGGAATGCCTTCAGCATGACCACGCTCTGAATCACGTGTGTAATCAGTCCAATGAATGGGCAAGACGTCACGGACGGGGTGGAAGACGTCACGGCAGGAGGCTAAATGCATGTGCGGTGGAAACAGCGGCAGCTTCTGGTAGAATGAGGGAAGCGCTTGCAGGGATGCCGGAAGTATGGCAGGAGACGCAGCGTCTCATTCCTTCAGGAAACTAGGGTCGAGGTCGTAGAACCTGACGAAGGTGAGCGGCATAGACCAACCTATATATATATCCTGCATAGCCACACACGACAGGAAGGCCTTGGAAGCCGCCACGCTTCGGGTGGAGTGAGCCTTGACCCCCAAGGGCAAGGGGAGACCAGAGGACACATAGGACATAGAGATGTCATCAACAATCTACCGACTGAGGGTCTGCTTAGTAGCAGGCAGACCCCTCTTGGAAGGACCATAACATACAAATAATTGGTCAGACTTCCTCCACATGGCAGCTCTGTGGACACATGGACACTCTGTGGACATGCTCACACTGGACACATACAGTTAAGATTCTGCTGGTCTGGATCCCGAAAGGGAGGAGGACAGAAGGCCTGTAGTACGACGGAGGGCACTTTAGGGATGTACCCCGGCCTGGGGTACAGAAAAGCTTTGGTAATGTTGATCCAGGATCAACAAAAGATGTTGATCCAGGGCCATGTCTTACTTGGCAAAATCACGGCGACTGCCTAGTAAATGTCATCACTTATGTTATTTGCGTCTTCTATCGTGACGTGAATAATAGCTAGTTTATCAGCGTATATATTTTTTTTCAGAGAGATCCCCACAGCGGGCGGAACTTGTCATAAAGTTAGTGATAACAAGGCCCGCCCATTTAGAGGAAAGATATGATTGGTCAATTTTTCTGTCATTCGAAATTACTCCCCCATTGATTTACTATTGCTTGGCCCTCTGTAATTTCATAGCTGGACCATGAATCACAGAGCCGCAAACGCTAGGCGGAAACATTTAAATATGGAGAAAATGGGCGGTGTTAATAAGTCCATTCCCTGAATACGCAGATTTGAAGGTTTTTTTTTTTTTTTCACAGAAGTTGTATTTATTTTATTTAGATGATGGTTGTCAAATTACGAATTGCTTAAATAAAATTAATAATAATAATTTTTTTTATTAAAAATATTATATTTTAAAACGTTTCTTTAAAAAATTTTAAATATTGTTTTTACAATAAGTTAGGCCCTCTCTGAGTTTCCACGCTGCCAGGAAATCTACTAAGGGATCTACTACTCGAGGCTGACCTCTGGTGTAATAGGAGCGGCCCGTTCGGTGCCCTGAAACAATGGACCGGCAGAGAACGACCAAACTAGCCACTCTGGAGACCTCCTCAGAGGTAGTGAGCCTCCCAGAGCTGCTACGTTTCCGGGTGGACACTGAGATGTGTGCTCGCTGGAGACCACTGTGCCCTGAAGCAACGGTGGTGGCAGGGTTAACAGCGTGGCCTCCTGAGGGTACTGAAGAGAGACAGGCACCGTGTAGTGAGGTGTACACCACTCTTCCCCAGCAGGGGCTGCCCTCAGCTGCCCTCTTCTTGGTCGAAGACTTCTTAGTGAGAAGGACAGTCCTCAGATCGACCTTCGGCTTCGAAGCCTTCAACCGTGAGCGTCGCTCTCCCCGTGACACCTGGTCACCACGCAGGGGGAGTACAGGTCGCGATGCTCAGCTTTTGCACCTCTCTGTATGAGGAGTGGGTACATGGTTGGGGCTGCTCCCTTCCAACAGCCCCATGAGCTAGAGAGCAGCGAGGCAGTAACAACTGAAACGCCGCCGCTTGTTTACGGGCCTCCTGAAACCTGTCGACGACTGAGTTGACAGCGTCGCCGAACAGACCAGAAGGCGCAAGCGGGGCGTTGAGGAGGAAGACCCTGTCTTTCTCTTTTATTTCTGACAGGGTCAACCATAGATGCCTCTCTGCGGCCACTAAGGCTGCCATAGACCGCCCTATTGCTTTGGCGGTCTCGTTCGTGGCATGGAGAGACAAATCAGCGGTTCTGCAAAGCTCTTTGATGTCGTCAGCTTTCACTTCCTCGCCATCATCTAACTCTTTCAGCAGTTCCGCTTGGTAGGCTTGTAGTACTGCTATGGTGTGAAGGCAAGCACCAGCCTGACCTGCTGCCGTGTATCCTTTGGCCACCAACGCTAATGTAGTACGAAGCGGTTTGGTGGGCAATGCCGGGGCTTTCAGGGATGATGCCATGCCGGGAGACAGATAGCTCGCGAACGTCTGCTCAACCTGGGGCATCGCCCTGTAACCGCACTCATTTAGTCCCGTAATGTTAGAATAATCAACAAGGGAGGGACTCGGAGAGGCGTGCCGAGTATGGACTCGACCACGATCTCAACACCTCGGTGTGGAGATTGGGGGAAAACGGCAAGCCCCGGTGTAGAGGGAGCGGCTTCGACCGTAAAAAGCGCTCATCTAACTTGCTTTTCGTCGGCTCAGCCTGCTTCTCGGTGGACCACTCGAGATTTAACTTGGCTACTGCACGAGTTATCACCTCCACAAGCTCCTCATACTGGGCGGATTGAGGGGACTCATCGACGCCCTCTACATCGCCCTCCTCGGAGGACGATAGCCTGAGCGTCGAGCCCTCTCCCCAGGGGGGGGGGGAAGAACCCACAGAGCGTGCTTCCGAACCCTGGGAGGGGGCACTGGATCTGGAGGTTGAGGAAGAAGAAAGGGACTTGCCCATCTCCATTCCTTCCGCCAGATCCATTTGCGATCCCCACGACCACCGCCGCTGCTCTGCCTCGGCAGCAGCAGGGCCTGAGCTGCGAGGAACGCCTGGCAAGGGCTCCCTCCTCAAAGAGAGCCCCCCGGGAGCGAAGCGTCCGCAGCGAGAGGCGCTCACAGTGCAGACAGTCAACCCCCTCGAGAGCTGACTCAGCGTGCTTCGCTCCCAGGCAAACAACACAAAGGCTGTGTGTATCCCCACCCGTGATGTAACGAGGGCAGGGAAGAACACACAGCCTAAACTGATGTTTGCCTTTATCATCGCCCTTATTTGTCTTAGCCTTTGACTTGCTTAAGTTGTTGGAGATAGTGACAGACAACAGTAAATAAAACATACACACACACAGAGCGCTTCACTGAATGACAGAAGCTGCCGCTGTTTCCACTGCACGTGCTTTTATAGCTTCCTGGTCGCTACATCACCCCGTCCGTGACATCTTGCCCATTCATTGGACTGATTACACACGTGATTCAGAGTGTGGTCACGCTGAAGGCGTTCCCAAAGCGTCTCGACGCAGCTCAAGTTCCTGAAGGGGAACTACTGAATGTGCAACCTGTACATATGCTTATTATGTCAAAAATGTGTTTTAGGGTTTCATGATCATTTAAAACGTGTCACAAATGCAAAAAAAGAAGTCAGGAGACATGTCAAGAAGTGAATTAGATTTTTTGATGGTTAGTTGATTTATTAGAATTATATTTTCAAAACTCTCTTTCTTTGTAGCACTATGAAGAGCTCAGCTTTTTTTTTGTCCTGATGATGCCTGTCCAATTCTCCCTCCAGATCTGATGTCGATCACTTAGACAATAAATAATTTCAAAAACTCTATGATCGAATAACAAAGTTCCTCCAAACAGAGTTGGAAGTCAGGTATAAAAATAAGTTCTAAGTGCTACACAAACTTTAATACTGTCACCTTTAAGGCATCTTCATGTTTAACAAAAATGTGTCCATGTGTATTTAAACAATGCTCTTACATTCCCCACTTAGAAAACGTATGAAGTGGGAAAATAGTAGCAAGCCTGTAAATATCTTATAAAATATTGCAAAACTACTAATAAACGAACCAGATACAAAGTGTCAACCATATCTAAAATGATCCTAAAACCTGCAGATACATACAAAAGTGTATGAATGGGTATCATCTGTTAAAACTCTCTGTACTTAGGTGTTAACGTAAATACTGAAAGAAAACCAACACAAAAACAAACCACTTTAAATACAATACCAAAGCTTACTAAAGTAAATGTCTGGATAAAACTTAGCACAATGGAATATTACTATGTGTTTCGAAGTTACATTCAATTGTAATGATTCATTGTTAAATGCAATCGTTCAAAGGCAGCAGGCAGCACTGAACAATGGTCCAGCCTAAATTTCTCTAATTTATATATATATATATATATAAAGTCACCATTCTGGATGACCACAATTTATGACACAAGTAATGTTTAAATCAAGGGAATTCAAGCCTTGAAAAACAGCAATAAAACGTAAAATGTGACATTTTTTTGGAAACGTTTGGGATTGAGTTGTTGGCAGCCTTCAGCCCTCTTCCTGAGTTAAGTCAAAAGATGACTCATATACTTCAAAATCGCAAAAATGCTCAAAAAAACACTTGGGAAGAAATAAAAGTTTTCATAACTCTAAACAAACAATTACTACTAACCTATAGACACGACAGAATACGTGGAACAGGTTAACATTGACATTACAGAGACTGTTAGTTAAAGGTTTTAAAACACTCCATATGCATTCCCACGGGTTGCCACAGCAAAGGCAGGGTAACCCTCGTAGGTTGCATAGGCAGTCATGTCCTGACCCAGAGAAACAGCCTGTTTCAGCTGGGTAGCAGTGGTGCTGGCAATTGCATAACCTGTGAAAATAAAAGGAATGGACTCAGGGCAATATAACTGTTGAAAAGCCGTAGGTGTTATTTAAAAAAAAAAAAGTTTTCTTAACCTTACAATGCACATATGTGGGTATCAGATAACAAGACCACTTCATCTAAAATACATTAATAAATAAATAAAATTGGATGGGTTTGGATAATTAATCCATGTAAATAATTTAGGGTTACAGAAACAGAGTATCTACATTTCTATAAATACCAGGGTTTCTGCAGGTCTTAAAAAGATCTTAATTTGCCTTTCCACAAATTAAGGCCTAACGAAAGAAAAGAAAGTCTTACATTTATAAAGACATGGCATTAGATGCCATATTGCAATTATTTTTTTTGCAACACAAACACCTAAACATCATTAAAACAAGATACATTCATTTGAGGTGCAAATTGAACATGAAACATGTTTTTATCTGATAAACTGAACAAAATTAAATTAAGTTAGGCTTAAAGGATTAGTTCACTTCTGAATTAAAATTTCCTCATAATTTCCTCACCTCCATGTCATCCAAGATGTTCATGTCTTTCTTTCTTCAGTCGAAAATGAAATTAAGGTTATTGAGGAAAACATTCCAGGGTTTTTCTCTATATAGTGGACTTCAGTGGGGTTCACTGGGTGGAAGGTCCAAATTGCAGCTTCAAAGAGTTCTACACGATCCCAGACGAGGAATAAGGGTCTTATCTAGCGAAACGATCGGTCATTTTCTAAAAAAGAATGAAAATTATATACTTTTTAACCTCAAACACTTGTCTTGTGTAGCTCTGCAATGCGCATGCGTACTCTGTGCAGTCCCATTCGAAACAGTTAGGGTAGGTCGAAAAACTCCCATCTCATTTTCTCCTCCAACTTCAAAATCGTCCTACATCGCTGCAGAAGTACCGACCCAGTGTTTACAAAGTGAACGTGCAAAGAAAATCAAACGCCCTTTACAGAAAAACGGTAAAACAGCGATGTAGGACTATTTAGAACGATTTTGAAGTTGGAGGAGAAAATGAGGTGGGAGTTTTTCGATATACCCTAACTGTCATGAACCAGAACGCACAGAGTTCACCGAAATAGACAAGACGAGCGTTTGAGGTTCAAAAATAAAAAATAGTAATTTTTTTTTTTTAGAAAATGACCGATCGTTTCGCTAGACAAGACCCTTATTCCTCGTCTGGGATCGTGTAGAACACTTTGAAGCTGCAATTTGGACCTTCCACCCAGTGAACCCCACTGAAGTCCACTATATAGAGAAAAACCCTGGAATGTTTTCCTCAAAAACCTTAATTTCTTTTCGACTGAAGAAAGAAAGACATGAACATCTTGGATGACATGGGGGTGAGAAAATTATGAGGACATTTTAATTCAGAAGTTAACTAATCCTTTAAAACAAGGATGAACATCTGTTAATGGGGAATGAAAACTTGTTTTCCTTTTGAATTAAGTTGATTTTTCTGAGCCCATTAGCAGATTTGTTCTAGTTTTAATCATAAACTCACAAAATTTTGATCAGTTTTGTTAGTAAATCTTAATTTAAGAATCTTTAGACATTTGCACTGGAAACTAAATACTGATGCTTTTATGAAAACATCACTTTTTTTGCAGTGTGGTCATAAAATGTATGAAAAAGTAATGGAGATCTATTGGAAGTTATATTTTCAAACCTTTGAAGTGTTGCTATGCCAATACAAGACATTTACATAAAGTTTTTCATTTAATTTATTCCTTAAATTTTCTTTATGTGGATTTAAATGTTCTTAATAAATTCTTACATTTGCCTTCATAAAACCTGCAGAAGCCCTGATATATGGCATTAATATTTACATTTAAATATTAAATATAAATGTGTATTATTTAACTAAATTAATAGTATGTATCACTTTTATTATAATTTACAATTATACTTATTATAATTTTATTAATAGTTCTGTTACTCATGAGTTTAAGGTTTAAAACAAATCTTTATGCCACAGTCATATTACAGGGTAGATAATAGACTAAAATATTTGTCCTAGTATGTGTTTACTCCTTAATAACAGAATTAGAATCACAGTGAAATAAGTAGCAGTCTTACAGACCTCACATACCTGGGAATGCAGCAGCGACGGCCGCAGCAGCGGAAGCGTCAGCGCCCTCTGTCTGGACACCAAGGATCTGCAGCGTGTGTTCGGCCGCATGCAGCTTCGCCTCATCCATTGATGCGCAGAGCTTGGCGGGGGTAAACGGATGTCTGATTGGACACACAGAGAACATCAGTGGTAAAATATTGTGTTGAAAAATGCGTAGATTTCTAAAAATAGATTCATTTAAAAAAAAAAATAGAGATGAGGAGGTGTGTTAGGTTTACATTCACAGAAGCTGGGAAGTGCTGTGTCTATCATGCATTGCTACATGTCGACTCTGACTGAAAAGTGTTAATTTACTGCTGTGTCCCAAAACACTGAGCTGATTTGATGTCTGATGGCTACATTGGCACGTGTCTACACAGACACCGTGCTAACTAAGAAAGTAGGCTAACCTCTTAAAGTAACAGATTTGATCTCTGACTGTTATTAGTTATTCTTGTGTAATGCACGGACTGTATGCACGCTGACTGTCTACGTATTTCTACGTTCTAATAGCCTCATATTTCTAACAGCCTAACTGGCATTCACAACTACTTATATAGCTTATATATTATTAACTATAGCAGGGACATCAAACTCGGCTCCTCGAGGGCCACAGTCATACAGATTTTGTTCCAACCCTGCTCCAACACACATACCTCTAGTTTTCAAATAAGCCTGAAGGATTTGATTAGCTGGATCAAGTGCGTTTATTTAAAGGGTTAGTTCACCCAAAAATGAAAATTCTGTCATTTATCATGTCATTCCAAACCCGTAAGACCTTCGTTCATCTTCGGAACACAAATTAAGATATTTTTGATGGAATCTGAGAGCTCGCTGACCCTCCATAGACAGCAAGGATATTACTACTATCAATGCACAGAAACATAGCAAGGACATCTGTAAAATAGTCCATGTGACATCAGGGGTTCAACGGTAATTTTATGAAGCTACCCCAGAACGTAATCAACGTAATCAGCATTGTTTACGTTCAGCATGCGCGCGCTGTCTACTGAACGTAAACAACGCTGATTACATTGTTAATTTGTGTTCCGAAGATGAACGAAGGTCTTACGGGTTTGGAACAACATGAGGGTGAGTAATTAATGACAGAATTTTCATTTTTTGGGTGAACTATCCCTTTAAGGTTGAAGCTATACTCTGAGTTTGACACCCTTGAACTTTAGTAAAATATTCTAGTGTATTGTATTAAAATATAATGTGTTAGTAATAGATTCCGAAAGCTTTAAATGTAGATGGATGGCTTTAAAAGTAAATGCAGACCAATCGTGACATGCAAGAAGTTAGAAGAGAATGGTCAAGAGAAGAGAATGGTCAAAGCAATGCAAATACATATAAAACATATAAGCTGCGTCCGAAAGCTTAGGCAGTTGACTTGATGCCTCGCTGCCCTATCAGGCAGTGACTCTGCAGGCAGCGTTTGAGCATGAAGGTTTAAAGATCTACAGCAAAACAGAGAGAGCTTTGCTGATAAAGCAAATATATTTAAGTACTATAATACTAATTTCTTGCTGGAAATGACATAAAAAGTTGGTAAAAAATGTACATTTACATACTAACTGACCATTAAGTGCAATTTTCAGCCATTTTTATTTTTATATTTTGTTTTGTTTTTGGCATTTTTGCCTTTATTTAGTTAGGACAGTGTAGTGACATTAAGCAATGTGGGAGAGAGAGGGGGACGGGATCCACGAGCCAGGATTCGAATTTAGTATGCTGTATGTCAGCATGCTACCCACAAGGGTATTGGCGCTGACAGACATTTTTATTTTTTAGCTCAACTGGTGCAGAATGGAACACACAGGTTTGTGGGATACCAAAAGTGCTGAAGAATATATCTATGCTGCCTTCAGAAATTGATCAGATGAAGGTAGCTCAGTAGACAGAAAGTGACACTGTCATTCAATTTAGACATGTATTATTGCCTTTCAGCTTTCAGACACAGCCATAATGCATAAGGATTGTAGAAAGCACATCAGTATGAAAACAAAGCCAAAACCCAAACATTTTAAGGTAATTTAGAAATCCCAGCCTGGACATGCCCGAGAAAAGGAGGACACCCTGATCTAGGTAATTGATTCCCAACCACATTCCTGGAGTACTTCCATCACTGCAGATTCTGATTGTCTCCTTAGTTATCAGCTCATTTGTAGAGACGTGAAATGGGAGTGTCTAACAAATGAAACATGCAAACTTTGCTTAGGGTTAATCCAGGAATGTGGTTGGGAATGACTGATCTAGGCAGCTCACTAGGTTTTGTGACACAGTTAATGCGAGTGTTCTTGCTTTGTGATGATGTGTGTATCGTTGCGGTAGAAGTTGTAACATACATATTTGGATATTGAGTAGCCAGAGCAGGGATGGTGACTTTGTAAAGGAACAGTTGCCTCTGATCTGGTCCAATAGCAGAGTGAAGCTGGTAAACCGGTTGTCCCCAGTTATTCTTTTGGCAAATATCCTCCAAGATCTGCGAAAACAGGCAAAATAGTCCTTGGAAAAATGTTCCTTTGAAAAATTCCTCCTTTTAAAATCCACGAGTGATCTTTTCAGTGAGGGTATGAGTGTACCTCTGGGGCGTGTTTGATGCCTTGGGGCTTCAGAGTGACTGGGTTCATGGGCGTGAGCTCCATGCCAGGAAGAAGGTCATAGAGTTTGTCGTTGGGGCGTTTGTCTGTCTTGAGTTGGTACGTGGCACAGCCACGACCCATGCCTGCACAGGCGAGGTATCCTCGCCCGCCCAAACCACGTACGCCCGCTGCCCCTACAGGTACATTCATGTAAATTTCTAGGAATGCAAGAAGGCATTAATCGAATCAAATCACCAGAAATCACCTGGGTTTCAATCAAGATTTAGAGAAATTGATCATCATGTAGATATATTCCAAGCCAGCACATTACAGATGCTGCATCTCTGATTCATGCAAGATCATTTCTTTTATGTATTTGATAGCCTTGATTTTTGGATCCCATCAGAATAATATATTATTGTTACTGGACTGTAATATGCAGGCATGGATAACAAATTCAAATGCTAGATAGGACAAGCATACTATCAAGATATACATTGTGTTTAAGGTTATGCAAATGAAGATACAAATATCGTATGGTTGAACTGCCGTAATAAAACAATAATGAAAGAACTTTACATAAGTAATTTGCCCAGTCTATTTAAAGTCAACATGAAATAAAAATGTACTAAATTTACTTAATTGTGCCTAATTGTGCACCATTCATCAGTGCATGTTATTCCAAAAATGTTTTGTATTATTTGTTTTAAATACAATAATTCACTCCAAAACAATGTTCCTTTTCATGTAACATCACAAAACCCCCTTTAAATTCATTTCAGCCACCTGGCCTCTTTTTTTTAATAGATTTATTTTAGGCATTTTCACCTTTATTACGATAGGACAGATCAGAACTGAGAGTAAGCTGGAAGAGAGATAGGAGGCTGATCCCGCCCCCTTGAGTCAGGATTCAAACTTGGGACGCCCGTAGGCCAATGGCGTTGTATGTCGGCGCGCTGCCCACAAGGCTATTGCGCCGACCTGCCTTCTTTTTTATATGTAACACCCACTTTTTGATTTTAACCAAACAATTAATGTCTTTTTTTCACAGAATTGTCACATTATGAATGTAAATATATGAAAAGTGTTTCATGTTGACTTTAATAATTGTAGACTGGCCTAATCTGTATTCATTTTGTTACTTATGTAGTGTATACTTAATTATATGAAGTGGATCTTTTGGTCATCAATAATCAGAGCAATTTCATGTTTTCAGTAAGAACGACTGCATTTTTAGCAGATACTTCACAAGCTTTATTGAGATTTCTTTGGAGATGATTGTCACACCTTTAAATATAAATGTCTGGAACAAGTGAATCAGATTACCCACCTCTCACAGAGGGAGAGCGCACCAGCCCCCTGGTACTTATGTGCCCTTTGGTACTGGGGAAGCGGAACTGATTAGGGATGGCTGCGTATGCATGGGGGGCGTAGAATATTGGTGCTCCTAGGTAGGCTGCTGAGGGGTCGTACATCTGGCCTACGGTGTAAGCATAGTCTTCTTGGAGCAGAGTCCCGCCACGACCCCCTGTGCCTCGGGTATACCGAACATAACTGTCCTTATCCACAGGCTTGGCTAGTGTGACCTCAATGAGAGATCCATCAATGACCTGGAGTTTTTTATACAGCATTATTTCATGATGATTCAAGTGAGTTTCAATTAGGTTGTGTGCCGCCTTACCTTTCCATTCAGTGCGTTCATGGCATTGATGGCATCCTCTCTTTGAGAGAAATGAACAAAAGCGTAATCTCGGATCTTCTTCACCCTTTCAACAGCACCTGTTAATTAGCAAACACTGTAAATAATTCAATCAAATCCTATAAAACAATGAAATGATTTACTTGAGAGTTCAGACCGAGAAACAGAATATTTTTGTCCATACTGTGTAAGTCACTGGGGTCCAATGTTGTTTAAACGCGTTTTTTTTTTTTTTCAAAATATCGGCTTTGGTGTACCTCATAAGAAAGTAAGCCATATTTGGATCCCTATAAGTAAACTTTGGTGCATAACCCATCCAGACTTTTTCTGTTTTATGAACATGAATGATACCTCTAATTATGCGGCTTGTTATACAATTACTTTTCTAAGTGCTCATGTTTACGATTTTCACCTGGCATATGATAGAAAGAGTGAAAAAAATACTTGCACTGAAGGAGTGACCTGAGGCATATCCAGAGACCAGAATATTAAAGAGACTTTTTGTTAGCTCACCAGGTTTGATGCTGTTAAACTCTTTCTCTATGGTCTCCTCTGTAGTGGGCAACATCAGATTACGAACATAGAGGATCTTCACTGTGGCCATGGTGTCCTCATCTACCTCTACTTCAGGTTCAGCCCAGTCGACTGCAATAGGATGACCCCACAGCTGAATCCTCCCTGGGAAGAGATAGAGAAAACCATGTCAGCGGCTCGTCTTTTATCTCTCGCTCATCTTCTTTGGGCAATGAACTAAGTATCGTTGGACTCAACATGAGTTCAACATGTAGGAAATCATTAAAATCTTGTCTGGCTCCGGAAACTGACGATTGCTTTCAAAAACGTCTGTACATTTGAAGCAGAAGTGTGAGTGGTTTTAGATAAGACAATTGGTATAATATATAATGTGATGTAGCTTAAATTATTCGTTGTATCAGGTGTTACCTGGCAGCAGTTTCCTCCTGGCCATGGCGGCAGCTCTATGGCTCTCATACTCGACAAATGCAAAACCTCGGTTCTTGGTCTTGTCAGCAGCACTTGGATAAACGATGACATCCATGACACCATCCGTCACCTTCTTCATCTCCGCCAGGATCTCTTCTCTCTTTTTGGTCTTTGGAATACCGCCCACAAATAGACGACAGTTGTCTACACTTGCACACACACCAAGAAGTCTTCCATTCCTGTGTGAAGATATGCAAGAATTTTCCATCAGTTTTTTTGGTTATGCTTTGTCTACAAGATGTCTAGTTTAAACAATGACTCACCGGATTTCATAGTTGTTGAGCTGTTTCATGGCATTCTTAGCCTCCTGTTTTGTGTAGAAGGTAACAAATGCATAGCCTCGATTGTTGCCATTGAAGTCCATCATCATCCGTACTTCATAAATTTTGCCGAACTGCAAAGACAGGTAAGTGTAACAGTTTTAAGGCTACACCACACTGAAATATCGATGGAAGCCTGTTTATACACCAGAGTAAAAACACTCTGGAATACGTTCTGAAATATCAAAGCAAATACATTGCTTAATTGTTAAATTCATTATTAATTTATTTGAAATGATTACAGTTTACCACTTTCCCCTTACTTTTTCACAGAGCGGCACCAGTTCATCCTCAAAGAGGTCTCGAGGAAGCTTTCCCACAAAAATCTCACTGCCTCTCTCTGGAGGTGGGCCTTCCCAGCCAGGAGGTGGACCACCATATCTCCTCTGGCCGTTTTCCTGAGGAGAAAACTAATGTGTGTTACACACTGATGACCCCTTCTGTATTATATCTTACCTAGACAGTGTCTTCACAATCATATTGAGCAGTTTTAATGCAATATTATTAATTGTACTACACAATTAAAAGCATTAAATGCAGGCAACAGAGCTGTACGGATGAGCACAGCGTTTTTTAAACACTGCCACTGCCTTTATCTTGCCACTACCTGACAAGGCTCCTTATGTCACATAATTCTAATACAGGGGTGTCCAAACTCGGTCCTGGAGGGCCGGTGTCGTGAAGATTTTAGCTCCAACCCCAATTAAACACACCTGAACCAGCTAATCAAGCTCTTACTAGGCATACTAGAAACTTAAAGGCAGGTGTGTTGAGGCAAGTTGGAGCTAGCAGGACACCGGCCCTCCAGGACCGAGTTTGGGCACCCCTGCTCTAATATATCACAAATTAACATGCACATTGAGATGGGGACTAAGTAAAACCATAAATGCATATGCTACTACTATACAGTAGACCTCAAGAATGGACAAGTCATTGTACTGATCCATAGACATATGCTGCTTTTTTCATAGATGGAAAGGTAGGAGTTTTTCCATTTTCACCACATGATGGTGCCACTATATTACATACTAAAAACTGCTGAAGACAACCACACGGATATATCTCCAATAATGAAAACATCAAAGAAATGGATCTTATGGACCAGCGACACTGAATTTCTGTCTCAAGTAAGAGTCGAATTAAGCAAGTGTTCTTATTCCATAATCCCAGTGGTGGACAGTAACGGAGTAGCTTTACTTCGTTACTGTACTTAAGTACATTTTTCAAGTATCTGTACTTTACTGGAGTCGTTTTATTTTGAGTAACTTTTACTTTTACTTCACTACATTCCAAAGCATAAGATCGTACTTTTTACTTCACTACATTTCATTCCCACAGTGACACCTGTCCTGTTACCTGATGAGGCTGTGGTAACTATTACCTGGTGTATGTGATATCCTGTGCGCTGGATCAGAGCGCGCAGCGCAGTCTCTTTCTGCATGCCAGTCAGTCCATCCCCGCATTTTTGATTGGTTTCCATTGTGAGTGATTATCAGCAATAAATCAGCAAAATTAGGGGTGCTCACTGAAATTAAATCAAAGTTCAAACACACATAAATGACAGGGCAAGATAGTATACTCCTGCTTTAAATCTGAACATGATAAGAAGCCAAGACATGTTTCTCACGGACAGTTTCAAAGGTAAGAAATTCATATGTCCTAACCATGCTCTTTTGAACAACACTAATCCATTAGAAAATAGCCCTTTTGTTCATTTATACATAAGAGAAAACTTTATCACAAAGATCTAATCCTAGAGGAGGAGAAACGTGATTATTTGGTCTTAATGTAGGCATCTATCATCTTAATTTAATCTGTGTCTCTGATCAAAGTCTGTTTGAACTGCATGAAGAAAGCTTTGGGTATATATTGGCTTTTTATCTGCTGGACAGTGTTGGCAAAAAAAAGTGAGGAATTTTTTTTCCCCTCACCTCCAGGTTAAGGACCGCGGTGTAATTATTAACTGAAGAGAGCAAATCAAAACAGCAGATAATCATTGAGTCACATATGTTTCAACAGGAGGACATCTGTGTCCCTTCCTTATTTCACACCTTGTTTCAGGTTTTTTCAATCATAATGTAGAAAATATAAAAGCATAATTCTATTATTGCATCAGAAGATTGCTCTATAAATAGCTCAGAGCTCAGGAGACTAAAGTGATTGTTCATACAAAAATGTAGATTGTGTCATCATTTACTCGGGTCGTTCCAAACGTGTATGACCTTTTTTTCTTCAGCGGAACACAAAATATGTGTATAACTCTTTTTGTACACTGAAATACAATGAAAGCTGGGTCCAAAACATCTCTGAACACCATTGACTTCCACTGCATAGATGGCAGAGCATTGCGTTAGCAGCTCAAAAGGTTGTGGGTTCGATTCCCAGGGAACACATACTGGTAAAAAATGTATAGCCTGAATGCACTGTAAGTCGCTTTGGATAAAAGTGTCTGCTAAATGCATGCATAAATTATATATATATATATATTATACTCTCTTAGAAGACAAAATAATGTCTTCTTTTTCAAACGGTCCCTTTTTAGGAGATTTATTTGGAGAAATAAAATTACTAGACTATAGAACTAAGTAATGAATTTAAATAGCAGCTCTGATATTTTTTTTTCATTTGTTTATAGTAAATTCACATTAAAATCTATGACTTTGCAGACTGAGGAAATCTGAGCACAGTTTAAGACGTTGAGATCCCTTTGGAGACTCGTTGGAGACACAAGATTGCTATGTCTGTTTCTGAAGAGAAAAATTGGGCAAGCAGGAGTCTGAAGCAAAAAGTAAGCAAAAGTCCCCATTGACCTCAATCTAATAATAACAAGATCTCCCTTGTGATTGTTCTTTTTTTTATAGATGAAAGTGCTATCAAGCATGATTGAATCACATGGCTGTGGGTCTTTAAAATCATCAGTGTAGTTTCTATTTGTCTTTTTCAGCTTCACTTGATCAAAGAGAGATGCTGAAGACAACAAAGAAGTGTGAGTACAAAATAGGGGTCAAAGGTGATAAGACTGCTAGTCATTTTCAAAAGCTTGTCAGTATCTGCGTGTAATCATGACAGCAATGATGATACCGTGGTACAATGATCATTGTCTCTCTAAGCGGCTCAAAAAAGACGAACACAAGCTGGCCTTTATTTGGTGCATATATATATATATATATATATATATATATATATATTAATAAAAAAACAATATATAAACACTATTTTGTTGAACCGACCCAGACAGGACACTGTCCTCATTAAAAACACTTAGTTGATAAAATATACTGTAGTGCATCAAGTAAGCGAGGACTGCCATTGGTGCCCCCTTAAAAAAAGGTGCACAATGCCCCTGGGAGTCTGTGTGCTCTTTTGAATTTTCTGTAGTTTTCTTTTCATTCATTTTATAATGCATCTCAACAGCAATGACAGCGCTAATGTGTTTGCCTCTGCAAATTCAATAGCTTGTGCAAAGCACAGAGAGTTTATCTAGACTGAAAGGACTCGTCACAGATGACTCACCGAGCAAGATGCTATTACTGCACGCTTTTGCAGTTGGCAAATGCGGCCTTTTATTCAATCCATACAGTGCATGAGACCAAAACGCTTTAGGAAGGGTCACAAATGATGATTTTCTTGAAGCTCAAACGTCAGGGATTTACGAGAGATGGCCGAACATTAGGAATCCATTAAAGAGAGCGCTTTAAGACAGTGTGGAAAGGTTTCCATTAGTCTGCAGTCCATCCACTGCTCTCTTCTGGACAGCCTGGTTACCGTTTGCATAAACAAGATAACTAGATGTGCGCTTATCGTGCCTGGATCTCTGGCTGCTTTTCAACCCATGTTGACTGAAGCTAAATACACATGTTCTGAAGGCCATTGTGCTGGACTGAAATGGCAGCACAAGTGCAGGGAATATAATATTTGTAATTGCAATTCAATTGCATGTTACATTTGCTGCCTGCCTCTGTATTTAAGACCATAAATCAAAAACAATATCATATGCACTGTACCCCCCCACCCCAATCACACATGTACACAGCGTTGCTACTGTTAAAAACCATCTGTGAGATTCAGTATGCCGTGTTTAACAAATACCGTATGTTGGAGAAGTACCATATGTTGAAGCATTTTAATAACAGCAGTGATTAGCTCTGGGTTTATGTTACAGCTGACCTTCTTACAACTATACTGAAATTCACATGTGCATATTAAAATATAAAATGTGATGAGTGGCTCGTTTCTGCATTATAAACACTGATGAACACTATCACAATAGAGTTTGTGCTGTTGAATCTTAAAATCGAAATATCTTTGCTTAAAATAAGCTAAAATAATTAGTTAAATGAATGTGTGTTACACACTGATGACCCCTTCTGTATTATATCTTACCTAGACAGTGTCTTCACAATCATATTGAACAGTTTTAATGCAATATTATTAATTGTACTACACAATTAAAAGCATTAAATGCAGGCAACAGAGCTGTACGGATGAGCACAGCGTTTTTTAAACACTGCCACTGCCTTTATCTTGCCACTACCTGACAAGGCTCCTTATGTCACATAATTTGGTATTTAAGAAGCAACTTACCTGAGCAATTTCAGAGATCACCACCCGGAAGACTCAGACCCTCATTCTGCTGAATTTGGCAACGTGTCACTTGGGTGATTCTGTAATCACATCATATCAAACTCCAAAGGTTCACTGTCCTGGGGCTGCTTTACAAGCTGGCGTGGTTAAACGTTAACCAGCTCTATCTCTGCCTCTCGCTGTAGGCCAGCCCTTTGACCAGGAACAGTGATCACTCCTGAGCCAGGGATCATGCTGCAGAAGTACTGCTCTTTTTTGTCACAAATATTAATCGATTATTTTTCAGATCTCTTGTTTTCAGCCAAATACAGATACAGGCCAAACAAATGCACAAATAAACTTTAAATTAACATATTCGCTTGAATTTAAGGGGCCTGAGATTAAATTGTATTGGTGGGCCCCAGCAGTTCAGCTGTATGTAGACATGTTTTGGGTCCCCCTCATCACAGGGCCCAGGACACAGTTTTAAGTTGTCCTTACCGACGACATACCTTTTTTTTTTTTTTTATGAACTTCAACACAATAACAATCAAACAACACTCCTTCATGGGTACATACATAAATATTTTCCCCAAAGTATAACATAAAAAGTAAAAGAAATTTCAGTCTGGTCAACTGGTTACGATATAAGCAAATATTTGTAAGCATGTATACGTGAATATTTGTGGTCATACATTCATAAACATAATACTCATTTCCTTAGGCTTACTATCAAGCAGCCATTGATCCTAATTACATACATTTACATTAATGAATACACATATTTCACTTTGGCATTTATCTGTCTTCTCTCTGTTTTGATATATAGATTGTCCATTTTCCCCAGTGTTTCTTAAAAGTCTCTTCTTGCAGTCTCAACCTGAATGTCAGTCTTTCCATCTTGTAAATTTCTGTAACTGTTTATTCCCACTGAGTTCTTGTTGGGGGAGGCTGCTGGAGCCATAGTCGAGTAATCGCTTTTTTTGCACCGACGACATTCCTGATGTTTTTTATTTATAAGGAAACATTTAATGATGAAATACGCCATAAGTTGCTATCATCTCTTTAAGGGATTTTATACAGATGGTTCTGTATGACGGGGCCACGAGAGGGTGCTGGAGGGTCCGTGGAACATTTGTTTTACAAAATGCATATACAAGTCATTATATGTAAAGACGTTTATAATGTTACAAAAGACTTTTTATTTTAAATAAATGTTGTCCTTTTGAACTTTCTATTCATCAAAAAAAAAAAAAACTTTCCACAAAAATATCAAAGGTGACATATCATGAAAATCTGACTTTTCCAGGTTTTAAGTGCTATAATCAGGTCCCCGGTGCATCTACCAACCAAGGAAACGTGAAAAAGATTAACCCAGTAACTTCGTTTTGGGAAACCTTTTTCTGCAAGCGTCTGAGAAAACGAGCGTGTCTGATTTCGCTCCCAGAAAAAGTTATTTTAAACTGTAGTAATATTTCCTAATATTACTGTTTTTACTGTGTTTGTGATTAAATGAATGCAGCCTAGGTTAGCATGAGAGAATTTCATCTTTTCAAACTTTTCTTATGCATAATAAATGTGTCTTTAACCCTGAAAATCTATAGCTGCCTTTATATTTAGTAACAAAACCATTAGTAACCTTGAGCCTTGGAGAAAACTGTTGCATATGTCACAAGAAGTCTGAAAAAAAAAATCACCAAAATTGGCCTTGTTTTTCTGGTTTTACCTCCTAGATTGTTCTTACTTTCCATTCTACACCAGATATTGACAAAGTAAACATGCTACTGCTGATGTCTTGTTGTCAAGGCCCAGTGTTTGCTGTCTTCTGACTTGTTTGTTTGACTTTGATATGGGCAAGTGGTCCCATGGTCCCTGTGCTCTCACGACAAACTCTGACCTGAGTTTCACGTGAATACAGCATTAACTGACATCCGTGAAGTTCACTAAATGTGAACTGAAGACCAAAAGCTTTTATATTTCATCAACATCATTTTTTTCTATTTACAATTTTAATCACGATTCAAAATGGCACGGCGAGTGAAACAGCGCCCCCTTGTGAAGAAAAGCACCTACTGTCTGATGCAAATGGGGTGGATGAGGGCATTATTTTTGATTATATCAGGTTCAGCCAATCAGAGGGGTGACCGGTGATTCATTCAGTGATTCACACAACTCTTTGCCTCTTTAAATGCAAATGTGGCTATGGAAAGACATATTGTCTAAGATATATTGAAAACACTTCCACAGATAGCAACAAAGAGAATATATGCAGCACAGCAAAAAGCCTGAGAGCTATTGAGTCTTAAAATGCTTCTTTTACAGAGTGCTATTGATTTCTGTTTGGTCCATGTGCAAATTGGGCTTTCTTTACTCAAGCTCTGTCAGCAGCTGCCTACAAAAACAGTAACACACACACACACACACACACACACACACACACACGCACACACACTCAAGATCCCACAGTAAGGCTTTACACAACTCCATTTCACTGAAGTGTGTGTTTTTCTCCGTATTGTGTTATGTAACTGTTTTCTGAATCAAACAGGCAGTGCTTATGAATTCCAGTGAGAGTGTCCAGTTTGTCTTGCATCATTAGTGGTGTTCTTCTCTATGGCTTGTGCTCCTCAGGATGACCTCCTCTGACACTTTATACACTGGGAGGAGAAAATTCCGTAGTCTAGAACCCTGTACCGTATCGATGCAGTTACAAAAGATGTTTTTTTTCTAAATAAAATCATTCAAGTTTCATAATATGCACTTCATGAGCTGCATATATTTAGTTCTGATGTTGCTTTGAAGTTAGCAGTGTTTCAAAATAACAATTCTGGTGAAAACTGGCCTTATTTTAAATTCCTTCCTGATATAGTACAAATAAGACCCCCCCAAAAAACAGTGGTTTTCTATGGCTGAAAAAAGTGTAGCAGGAGGTAAGTCAGCAAAATGTCAGAGGGACCTCATAATTTGAACAAATTAGTTCACCTAACACTCTTACCCAGTATTATTTTCCTTCCATAAAACATAAAATGAGATGTTAGGCAGAATGACTTCATGCTGCCAGACTCCAAAAAGGCACAATAAAGCACAATAAAAGTCATCCATGTGAGTTATGAGTTATATTAGTAGTCCTCTAAAGCCATACAATGCAGAATTTTAAGCCTTTCACCATTTCCAACAAATAATAGACAGGAAGCTATTCATTTTCAGTGGAGAGTCGTATAGGAGCTGCTTGGAGTTCTGATCAATGCAGAATTTTCTAAATTGGATCTGAGCTTCGGGAGAGTCAAAATATTCAAATTTGTGTGGTTAGACCATATGTAACTGCTAGACCAGATATAATGTTATATTTAAATCAAAACTATGAGCATGAAGTGAGAATTAACAAAAATGCTTGCACTGAACCTTTAATCTTGAAACACTATTTCTGTAAAATGGGCAGTTATTAAAGGGGTCATATGATGCTTTTTTAAAGATCATTATTTGGTGTATTTGGTGTAACAGAATATGTTGACATGCTTTAATGTTCAAAAAACACATTATTTTTCAAATACTGTACATTATTGTAAGTCCTCTATGCCCGCCTCTCTCAAACGCTTCGTTTTCTACAAAGCCCCCTCCTTTGACAAGCGCAGTCTGCTCTGATTGGCCAGCTGACCCAGAGCATTGTGATTGGCCGAACACCGCAAGCACTCGTCGGAAATGTAACGCCCCTTACCATAATCGCGAGCTTCATCTTTCAAAATAAATGTAAAGACAGAGCCCGAAAGGGGAACAGAGTCGCGTGACAGACACAGTGATGAAGCTGGTATGTGTTTGCAGTACACAAGCCACGGTTAAGACAGCTGACTCCACTGTGAGTGACCCTGTCTCTGTCTCTGTCTCTCTCTCTCTCTCTCTCACACACACACACACACACACACACACATTATGCGCAAAACTCCGCATTTGAACAGTCAATAGCAAATACTTAAACTAATAACAAAACATACTTACAGTAGCTGATTCAGAAGTGCCAGATTGTCATAGCAAAGTCAGAATTACCTCCTCTCCTAGGTTCACGAAACGGTCGTCCATAAAATGCATTGCTGTTCTGTTGTAAGTGATCTTAAAGATTCCTAAATGCATCTACTTTTGGAAGGCCAAATAAAGTGCTTTTGCATGGAAACACACAGCGTCTCCCTGACATGGTTGCTTCAACACTAACTGCGGTTACTTGAAACCACGCCTTCTTTCTTTGCGTGCACATTTGGGTGCATTATGCAAATATTTCCACATAGTGGGGTAGATATGTGGGGGCGTGTTAGAACGAGCCGTTTTAGGGGGGCGTGGCAGAGTCTTAACTTTGATAAAGAATATCTCTTTGGTTTTGAGACTTTAGTCTTTGCAACTTCAGGGATCTTATGTATGCACAATCAGCTTGTAACACTCCAAAGAGAAAGGAAAACTTGAAATCGCATCATATGACCCCTTTAATACTTATGTCTGAAATACTTATTTTAAAATTGTTAAATTATTATTTATGTTGAAGCTAAAGAAAACCAACAATGCTTTTCTTTGAAACATATTGGCTGAAACATATTTGTTTCGTGTGTATATTGATACATTCATTATTCATTCATAGGCTACTAAGGTGAAATTCACCAGGTTAATGAGTGCATTGTAACAGCAGCTTCACAACCTGTTGGAAAGTTCCATGCAACTGCCACTAGGGGAAAACGGTTCGCACATTTTGGATGTAGTAGAAAAGCAGCTTTATTATTCCATCTTCTGGAGCTCTCAAATATTAAACTGGCTTCCAGTGCACCTAGGACTCTCATACCTCTGAGTCAGGCATTTGTTATTATGATGTGGCACGTTTAAGCAGGAAACATTACACAGAAATAGCCAAAATTAAACAACAACAACAAAAAAGTTAAATTATGAACAATAAGCCCAAATAACTACCTTTGAGTTCAAAATTATGAAAAATATTAATTTGTATAACTTGGAACTCGTAGACTTACTATTTCTTGACTCCACTTGAATGGCACATATACTGTATGTGTTGCACCAGGTTCTTGTGTGTCAAGTTTAAAAACACCACCGCAGATTAAAGCTATATCACAGGGA